GAAATATTTTAAATTCGTGTTCAAAACCTCCTCCTCGAGCTTTTGTAGCGACTTCAATGCTGGCTTGTCGATCACACTGTCTTTCGGCATCGGCTAAATAATAAATGATGTCTTGTAACAAAGGAACGCAGATATGAGGATGATTAGCCATGAGGTTTTTAGAACACTGATGCGCGCGGTCGTGAAGCGTGCCCGGCGAGGTGCAACTGGGTGTCAATTCCCGGGACAACGGGTGGTCCCTTAGGGAGCTCCCATTTCCTCTTTTAAACGCTCACAACTAGCGAATTCCGTGTGACACGAGCTCTTGTCCGCATCGCGACTGCACGCGTCATTGGCTACTTTGTACATTGTGTACTGTACCGGAGTACTTTTCCGGTTTCGGGTAATTTTCAGAAGAAAGCAGAACACTGACTAGACCAATGCAACATCAGCATGGTACACTACAAAAATCCGTATCACGAGATGGGGCTGTCGACTTTCGGGGCGGGACTTCAAGTGTCCAGCCCGACAAGCTCTTTGAGGGCAGGTGCAGTACAACGTCGTTCCGAGTATCTCATCTGGGAAGCCGTCGCTGATCCCTGAGGAGGAGGCTCGTACTTGTCTTCGAAAAAGTTTTTCCCGCCGTAAAATTTTTTCCGGTTGCTGACTTTTCTCGGTTCTTCCGAATTTTTTTTACCATATGACCCCTCCCCTTTTTTTACGCTCTACCAGCGCCACAAAACTAGTAGCATATGACTACTGGCTGAAATTAAGACTGTGGTGGTAAGACTAACCCTTCTCTCCAGTTCGGAGGCAGTTTTTTTCGGGAAAAACTGAAAAATTTTTATATAATGGGGAGTCGTTAGGAAGGATAGGGTATGGCTTCTGGGGGATCGTAGGCACCGCCATTAAACACAGCACGATGCTGGACCCTATCTAAGAGGGACTCGCGCCAGGTTATAAGTCGCTGCGAAGGATTGTGACTCTACGAAGATGAATGCTGATATAATGGGTAAAGGATAAAGCCTTCGCCATCAGACAATCCTTTGTGGGATGCGGCACGCATTCTACTTCCATTCAGAATCGTAGTGGCTTATTGAATGCGATGTGGCCTATACAATGACTTGCGGGGGCCAGCCGATGTACAAGTCAGTGTTCTTATCCTCCCAGACGAATCTGGTACCAATTTACCGCCCGGAGGATAGACGGCTTGGTTAACTTGGGCAGTAGACGATCCAGAATTTGATCCCCGACCGCGCGTGGTAGGCATAGCATATTATGGAAAGTCTTGGAATTCTAGCGCCTGCGCTCGTAGAAAAGCCAAACTGAAGCAGCATGAGTCAGAATAATGTGAGCCACCTACGACGTCATAATTCCAGATGTCGGAGAGCGGAATTCTCTGGAACATAAGACTCTCCTCGCACTCGTCATCTTCCATGTACAGTGGAAATGTACATGGAAGATGAAGAGTCCTATTGAGGGCGGAAGCTAGGATATGTCAGGCAGGTTGGGTTTGGCGCGCTCCAGCCAGTTCTCCACCAATTGCTGACGCGGGCAAGAGACAGTAATTAGTGGAAAACGGGCTGGTATCGTGCCAAACCCTGCTCCCTTGACACGCCCCAGCATCCGCAGCGAACAAGACGTTAAGTCTCACCTTTTCAGCAACACGTGAGGTTTGTTCCACTTGTAGAGTCGCCCACGTGCTTGCTAACAGTATGAAGAAACCAGCAACCAAACATATCTTAACATAGCGCTTTCCAGCAAAAAAAAATTTAATGAGTCGACGGCTGGAAGAGTTGGGAGAGCGAGGGGACGCGTGGCAGACTACGCGACTACGCCTGCGTCCTGCTCCGCTGGCGTGGCGCTCCTGGTGCCCGAGCCACGTCTCCCTCTCCTCCAATTGCCGCAGCCTCAAAAATTGGACTCTTAACGGAAAATGATGTTACCTTGGCATAAGTAGACACTCTTATGCTCTCTATTCTTCGCCACAGCCAGATAGAGAATTGATGGTATTATGATGCACACCAATGAGCCAATCAGTGATCCAGTCAAACCGAGCACAAATTCCACTGGAAAAAATATTTCGTTCACACATTTACAACCCTCAGACAAACCTTCAGCAGGCGACTGGGCGCGAAGGCCACGTTCATAATTTGGTAATGCGGAGAATAGGAGAATACACGCCAAGGGAATAGATGGCATTCGATCAAATTTTCTATTCTCCCGAGCGCAAAGCACCTCGTGGAACATGAGGGAGGGGGCCGTAGACAGTTCTTCTGTACGTTTGCATTCTTTCAACGAGATAGTGATGGTTGACTGCGGCGGAATTAGTGAGAGCGCAGACGAGCAGCAACGTAGCGCTACCCCTCCTCCTAACTTCCTTATCGCTGATGGCTGGTCCAAATTAAGAGTTCGTGGTCGCCGCGCCTCGCTGTCTGCCGTTCACTGACTAAGGCTCCGTTCAGACTTTGCGACGGTAGCGCTTCGGTCGCGCGTTGGACGCGATCGATGCTTTCGACTGCTTCAAACGCGCGACCGAAGCGCTACCGTCGCGAAGTCTGATCTGAACGCTGCCTAACGGACCGCGTTTCTAGTGACGACCACCCCGGATTCGAGCACATAAGGAATTTAAACAACGAAGTTAATAGCCTTTCAAAGGACTCTGCCAATACGTAGAGATTAAACTGGAAAGCTAAGAATAACTCACCATTAGGAATTATAAGTGCGATTGTCAAATTGAACAATAAAATTACAAATGTCAGTACATGAAATGTCGAGTAGCGCATTGCATGTGACACTGGCAGCTCGCAATTCCTCTGAAAACGCACCATCAAAGCAAAACGTTTCAACAGGATACAGTAAGGCAACTAATGCCAGTATTCTTTCAGTAAGATCAGACATTTTGGTGCAACCTCGCACGGAATACGTACAAGGCATTCGAAGCTACGAAGTGTTTACGGGGCAGGGCACTTTGCCGTCAATTGAAATTTTTTTTTAAAATAGGACTAATCCACTCGAAATTTCCTCTCATGGTACCATCCTCCCCCCCCTCCCTTTCCTACCTACCAACCTCCCAAATCCCAAGTTCCTACCATTTCCAAGGATTTTTTTAAATTCGTCTCTTTATCACAAAAAAAACCGCGTTTAGCAAAGAGCGGAGGGTGATAAACAGCACTTGAAACAGAAAAACCGAGACCAATAAAGCGAGGAAAACATTTTCGCAGGCGAATACGACCCCCCCCCCCACACACCTCCCTCGGAGACTAAGCACACAAAATACTCGCTACTATCCCCGAACATACGGCATGTCTATTCCAAAGAGGCCTATGCTAGAGCGCAGACGACCAAAAGTCGCAAGGTTAGCCCTCGCAGAGAAAAATGTGTCCTCATTTAGCCTAAGCCCCGATCAGGAGAAGGGGCAAAGAGCCGACGAGTCCCCCTCCCCCACCCCAACTATGTTTAGAGTGCGAAAATTCACAGTGCTCGGCTTACAAACTTTTTTACATGGCCTGTTTCACTACTCGTCATTCCAACATGCAAGAAAGTAGGAAATATCGTCGCGCGTTGAAGTAAGCCAGCGACCATAACACGCCCCATGCTTGGAAATCCAAAATGGAGGGGGTGTATTTGATCGCTTAGAAGGGATCGTATTTGCCGTCGGAACTTTTTTGATAGTGATTTTTCCCGTTCGCGAAGAGCCGGCAAGAGGCAGGCGTACCTGCTCTCGGGCGGTCCCTATTGAGAAGCTGCTGATCTAAGACGTTGGGTAGAATGTGGAAGAAGATCGTACCAGAGCAGGAACTTTGGGGTGGGGTAGTATCTTACAAAAACTTCCCCAGCGACAAGAGGCTGTGCCAATGCTACACCTGCATCACACGGCTTTCCGCACTTCGTGAGCTACTTCTCCTAGATTGTACAGTGAAATAAAATGTTTGTCATGGGAATTCTGCACCAAAACATCTCATCTTACTGAAATAGCGTCCTCACGTGTAGTTAATCTATTTATGAATGGAATTAAAAATTTAGAATCAGTTTAGTTCATTCCAGTCTTTGAGATCATTCATCACCGCTCACCTTGCGTGAACCAAAGAACTTGTAAGGTACATCTTGAACTTCTTCAAATGTCAAAAGCTTAAATGAATTCCGCTCATTTATGAAAGGAAATCCATCTAGTACCCGAGAAAACAAGACACTGGAGAAAATGCTTGGTGACACTTACCGGCCGCAACACCAAGTTGAAAAGCGCAATTCGTGCTGGGAACAACATCAGTGGTATAGAAATCGCTATCGACAACATGAACGCCAGTTTAAGGAGTTGTGTGAGAAAGATGATTCTAGTTCGACGAGTACATCACCATGAAGAGATCGAGAAAAGAACGCCACGTAGCCAAATGTTCCTACACCAGCATACCTGAGCAAGAAACAGCTATTATACCGAATAGGAATCCGAGGAAAAGTAATGAAATTCAGTAAAACAGTTTTCCTTCAGAAAAGGGATGTATGGTTTCAGGGATCCGAAGCCGATGCATGTGCACTGTGAGTCTCCCAGGGTGCCTGGACTGAAATGTGGGCAGTTTTGTCAGGGTCCCCTCTCTATGCAGCTACTTTCATGTCAGAACAAAGTTGTGTCAATTGAAGGGTAAAAACCCGCGAGAGCTAGAAATTTCCGCGTCATTCTCATGTAGAGCCACCACGCTAGCATAATAGTCATTTCCTGGAGTTTTCGCTTACACCCTTTTCAAAAACCGCGGATTCTGTCTACCCCTGGCGGAAGATGCTTCGCGGATGATGTTATGCACCTTTCAAGGAGCGCTGAAGTTCGTGGAAGTCCGGGTGCACCATGCAGCGCTTCATTCTTACAGCGTGCGATGCAACCGCAGAAAGTGTGCAGATACCAATGAACACACTGCTTGGGAGGGAGGTGAGAGACTCATAGGGGCATTTTCCTCGAGGGTCGTAATGACCGGGAGGTGTTTCAGGGCAATGATGCCTGCCCTGATGGGATCTCCTCCAACGCTGTACCCTGCTCTTGTCCGCAGTACAGTCTAATAGTACTATTTTACTGATATCAGAAAAACGGCTTAAAATGGACTCACATGGCTGAACAAAAATTGACAGCTCCTGAGACGACCGCATCAACACGCGAAACCGATGCGTCACGAATACAGTCAATGACGCAGAAAAGTTGTGTTTGACACGACAATGCCATACATACGATGGGAAGACTTGAAAAAGCAGACTTTTGTGGGCGCAATCTTCATAAAAACCAAAAGAAGCTTATAAGAACACATACCAAGTAAGAAAACCGCTTGGTCGCCACCAAACTACATGCATACTCCAAGCTCCATCCCATAATGCCGGTAGAGCTTCCAATACCTGCATAAGATACTCATTACAGCACTAAATTTTGGCGCAGATCGGCTTGGGGTGGGAGGGAGAGCATATATTGCTGGCTCCCATCGGTTACTGCCGAAGCTTCCTCTGAACTCCTGTAAAATCCTATGAAGCTATGGAAACCTATGAGCTTCGTTTACACTTCAGGTCTCGCTAGGATGAAGCCTGTAATTTGACAGGAACTAGCAACAAAAACAAGCGAAAGTACGAAGACCCTCGCCCCCAAGCCGAACAATATCTCAATTTTTGGTTGGTAAAAATTCAACCTACCATTCGAACAACAAAAATCGCATAGAATAATACAGCAAATGAACTTATAACGGAAAATTTTTCGAGATCTTTGATGAGGCATAGCGGGAAAATTACAAGCAGGAGAACCACAACCTGAAAAAAAAGCCGTATGCTGTTTGGTTTCTATCAAGTTCGCATAAAGAAAAGTCAGACAGCAGAACCTCATGGCGTTTTAAGAGATTCACAATGACTCTTTGGGTCTATTTCCTTTTAGTGTACCTTATATGAAGGATCTATTCTAATTATAGTCCCGCGCCTCAGCAGTTCAAAGGAGTCTTTCCCTGAACAAGTTGTCTAGCCTTCATTCTCTAAGACTGTCCCACTTTCGCGGGTGCACAGGAGTACGAAGGCGCTGCGGTCCAGTGGCAGTTCTGAGTGGCCTCCCTAGTTGCCCCGCCCAACACCACTCAAAAGGTACTCCCTGACAGGACCTCGCCTTGTCGGCATAAGACGAGTAAGATGGGCAACTCTTACAGTGAGTCTGCCAGGGTTCTTATGATGTTCCCCAAGATTCCTTTTCGCCTTCTTCTTCCCTGGAGAGTCTCTTGGTGATTATAGGTTCGTTATTGAAGGTCACTACTCACAGTACTCGCATGGTCTATCTTCGAAAGTGTCTAAGAACTACTAGAGCTCGGTTTCTTCACCCGTTTTCTGGCCCCTCCCGCGACTGCGCTCCATGACTCACATAGCGTCCTATGACCACCAGAGCTGCTCAATTTTGTATAAATGACGAGATTCTCCGTCACCTAGAATGCCCGCCACCCCCCCCCCCCTTTGAAAGGCCCATCTCTAGGGGAACTGGTGTAGTTAAAGTCCTTGCGTCGGTGATAAAACAAGGCCGTACACACATTCCTCTAGTCTCCAACCGAGATAGTGTTTTGTGATGTCTAAGTGGTGATAATGAGGACGCAGAACGCAGACGAATGGAATGGACACGGCGCAGTCTCCCTCACTGGCCCCCTAAGTTAGTAAACTCCTGCTCAGGCTCACAAGAAGTAGTCCCTTGTTCAGGGAGCCGCTACCTGTGTGACTGTACAGTCTTTTACCTGTCTGCATCCCAGTATTCCGCTGCAGGAACATGCCAGAAAATTCAAGTAGTCGCATAACTAACAAAAGGTGAAAAACGGTCAAGAACTGCTCATGGCACCCCCGAGACTCCGAAACTAACAACGCTGATACCAAGTACAACTGTACCCACCATCACAAGCGTTCGCAACCGTTGTGTAGGCGCTTCTAATTCCAAATAATCTGCTACAAGATGGGGGCCGATATCGCCTGAACATTCATAAACCAAGTCAACACTGGAAGATCGACAGCAATATATAAACAGAAATTGAAAAAGCAGAAAGTACCTATCACGACCAAAAACGCTACAATAGAAGAGACAAGAAACGAAAGCAACGACAACTCGACAAGACGTCGACCCGTTGGACCAAGCGCTGTAAGCGCCAAAGTTTCATAGCTGTGTTTACTGAAATTAAATTTCTATGGACGGGCTGAAGGTCTAATGAAAATCACTTCAAAGTAAACTGTTGTCATGTACAAATTCGATACTGTGGTCAGAAAGACATAAAAATCAGAACACCGCAGGAGGAACGGTAAATGAAACTGCACACAAACCTGGACAGAAAAGCAGCTTTGCAAAGGAAATGACAAGTGTATTTCGTCAGCA